GAGATGAATGGGCAAATCGGATGGATCTTGAGTCTTGAGAGGGAAAGGGGGCTTGAGTGTGAATCCGAGTGAAACTTGGATTCACGAAAAAGAAATTTTAACAAAGCAAATATTGTTACTAATATACTATATCTATTATATAAATCGAAATGCTGCATGACAATTTCCTGATTGAATAGGACAAAAGAGATTTTAAAATGGTTGGCTTGAAAAGCGAAAATTCAAAGGTGCAGGCAAGTGCAGATTTTGGTTGCTGTTTAGCAATAGTGTGAAAATTTTAAATGGTCGTGAATTTTGGGGTGTAGATAATCTTAAATTTGCTGCAAACTTCTGTAAATGACCACTGGCACTGTATCTTGAGCAACACTCGGTTTTTCTGGGACTCACTGGCAGAAGACAGCGCGCGATGAGGACATCGATCTCGAGTCCGGGGAGTATGTGCCAGTCGGTCATATTTGGAAGTTTGACCTTGAGAAGAGCAGAAAACACTTGATTTTGGAGTGAAATTTAAATTTTTAAAATTTCGAATGGAACATGTCATGCACGATTTTCTCGCGAGAACTGAAAATCAGAAAAAGAAAGGAGAACAATTTAAGACACACACGCGGGAAAGTTGTCATATAAAAAACGAGTGGGAAATTGCTATTCGCAATTTCCATCATAGTGAACAAGAGTAGAGCTGTCCTGTCTGGAATAGAAGACGGAGTATTCCCGAGAGAGCAATTATTCGAGCTGAACCGGAGTGAACCTTCGACGGAAAGGTGGACAGCTTGAGTGTCCCAATGGTCCACATAAAACTTCGTTCTTGAGTTCAAACTTACCCTTACCATTCAAACTGATAAACATTGAACTTATCTAGTTACCTTAGTTAATTCTAGAGTTGCTCACCCATTTAATTACTTCCTGGTTCTTGAGCGCATCAACATGTGAGTCCTTAATTTAAATTTCTAGAGTGTGTTTTACGATTGTTATGTTGAGGTAAGGCGAGTTTTAGGTTGATCCATCTGAAATGGATCAAAGTTACACTGTCTAATAAAAAGTAACTTAACGGATTGTTCCAACCCGGTTTTTAACGGCGTTCATGTATTTTGGGTATCTAGAGACCTAAGTATGGGGACGTTTCTAATTCTAGAGTGGGGGGATATTTTAGTAGTAGCCTTTAAGCTGTGACGGGTCGTAGTCTCATGTCACAAGCGAACCGAATTGGCTCCGACTGATTTGAGGCGGAAAAACACAAGAGATAGTGTCCCTGACTCCCGAGCCAATAGTTATAGGGCCTATTTTTCTTAAGCCTCGTGTGTGACTGTAGTAGACGAATGTTACAATTCTATCAAAGACTTATAGTGCACTTTTCATTTATGATGACTTCAACATAAACGACTTTGAACACTTATCATCTCCTTTTTATCTGTAACATTCGCCCGGAAGATACATATCGACGGATAACAAAACTAAGTCTTAAGACGACTGGCTAGCGTCTAAACAGAGCTTTGCATGTTTTTCACCGTCTCTACCAAGCCAGTACTTTTCGGTGGTCTTTCTTACATCAGGCTGACAAAAACGTTACTGTTCTCCGGCTTCGACCAGAACGCTCAAATTAACTGAATTACATGCGAAATTAGTGAGCTCATGGCTGGGTCTCTGTATCCCCAGACCACGAGGTCACTCCTAAAAATGTGACATTCGACCAGAATGGCCAAAATGCAGTCTCTGCAGAATTCAGGATTTTAGCAGTGAACCTTCCGGATTGGCGATTTAGAACGGATAAGGACGTTATTTGAATGATTGGCCAAACGGTGAAGGCTAGAAGATTCTGGAATTCTAAATTTTAAATTTTCGAAGTGATGACGTAACATTTCTGAGAAATGTTAAAACGGCCATTTTGGCTAAAAAAGCAGAAAGAAACAGAACAACTTTATCTGCGATTACGAACAGTACGAAAATCGAGACTAAAAAACAACAACGAACTACCGAACAGCAGAGGACGTTCCGAGTTGCAACTATTGTGCTGTTACAATAGTTGCAAGGCCGTTGCGAACAACGGTGAAGGGTAAAAACCAGCCCTCCGAGTTAGCGTGAACCTGAGGTTAAGGAGCTTGATTCGCCGGATTCAAGAATCCGGAAGGGTCTCGGGACGGGAACTTTTATGAACTTGTATTGAATTTTAGCATCCTGTCATGTCCTGACTTGAATTTAACCGATATTTTGATTAGTTTTGACAAGGATGAGGTGCTAGGAGTTGGGGGAAAGGGTTGATCCATCTTCGATGATGATTTTTATCTACTGAACAAAAACAATAGTAATATAATAAGTAGTAGCCCTGTTTTTAGGAGTGACCAGAAGAACTCAGAGCAGAAAACAGAAGAACTCATGAGCTGAAAAGAGAAGAACTCCTGAGCTGAAAAGAGAAGAAATCCTTCTTTAAATTTTTTTTACAAAACAGATTTATAACAATTACTGGTTCATCCATTGATGAATTCTAAATAGCAATAAGGAGAGATAGGTTTAGAATGAAAAACAAGGCTGTTCAAAGCAGGGTCTTCACTGTCTTTATGAAGAAACTGATAGACTTAACACAAATTCAGGCTTTCTATCTCAAAACACAGTAGCCTGGAAGTGTTTGTAGTAGTATTTCATTCAAGGTAAAAATTCTAATCTAATTTTATCTCATCAAAGACACCACGGGATGATGATAATCAAAAATCTTTTCAATTTGACTAGTAAATAAAATACAAAAAAAACATACAGAGACAGAGCTGCACTTTTAGGCGGAGCCATTTAAACGGCGAAAATCAGCTCTAAATATGACAGTTTGAGAACAATCCAAAAATAAACATAAGCCTGCAAAATAACCTGCAAAGACGTTATCTGCTGCGCACTAGACATGCGCCTTGATAGAAATGGCTACTCTCGACCACCACCCAAAGAATAGTGGGAGAGAATGTAAAATACGCTTCTTTGGACAAAACTTTTCCAAAGGTATTATCCAATAAAAAACTGAACTTTGCAAACACAAGCAAAAAAAATAGCAAAAAGTAGCTCTATAATTGTCAAAAAATAAAAAAGGAAAGAAAAGGTAGAACTAACTAAAAGTTATTATATGTCGGAATCAAACCCCCGATCACGAGAGTAAGAGTCACACCTACTAGCATCTGCGCCATGTTAGCTTGACAATCTTCAAAAACTAGCTATCAATAAACCAGACACAAGGATATAATGCTAATGTAGCAAAAGTAAACCGAATTTAAGGTGATGTCCCATTTGTACCAAAATAAAAAATCGGTCCCATTTGTACCAAAATTATTCAACTCGATTTCTGATTGGTCGAATTGTGATCCAACGAATTATTAGATTAATTTTCTACTGTTCAAACAGAAGAAAACTCAACCGCAGAATAGTGACCGCCGCAGTCGCGCTAACGTGTTGCGAGCTTGCCACCAAAGGGTAGGACTTTATACGAAATTTAGAGCCGGTTATCGCCGCCAAGCGTCGACGCGCGCGTAGCGCGCCCACCAGCGACCTTAAACAAATAGCTTAAAGTAGTCGGCTTAATAGCCTTAGGCCAATTGAATACTTTTTGGTACTAACGCGATTGATTTTTTATTTTGGTACAAATGGGACTGATTTATCATTTTAGTACCTGTGAATACCCACCGAATTTAAGGTGAATTCTCATTGGTCCCAACATTCATAGCTCCGAAAATAAAAGATTAGTCGCATAAGTCCCAAAATTTATCTTGTTGAATTCTGATTGGTTGAAATTTGAGTCATCGAATTTATGGATTGATTGTTTACTGTTCAAGCAGCATAAACTCAAGCTGCAGAATAGTGACCACCGCAGCCGCGCCAACGTGTTGTGAGCTTGCCAACAGAGAATAGGACTCCATACCAAATTTAGAGTCGGTTATCACCACGAAGCGGCGACGCGCGCGTAGCGCGCCCAACGGCGACCTTAAACCAAGACTCGGCTAGTTTAGTCTTTTGACCAATTGAAAAGATTTGGGACTTGTGCGACTGCTTTTTTATTTTGGGACGTATGGGACTGATTTTTCATTTTGGGACCTACGAATACGAACCGAATTTAATGCTAATGCAGCAAAAGTAAACAAGATACACTGCTATTGTTATAAAAGGGGACCGATCGCTTAGCATGAAAACTAAAAAAATGGGGCTTTTAGCAGACTTTGATTGACAAGCAATTAGCTGGGGCTGCGGCGCCATTAAGTCTGGGTTGAGCAACATTATTTCACGCTTTGTAAACAAAACTTGCACTCAACTTAGCAAGTTTCAAACTTAATTTCAGTTCATTCTCAATGAACTTCTCAAAAATTCAATGCAAAATGGGGGGGGGACCTATTAAGCAATGATTTTCTGTTCAAAAAAAATCAAAAAAGGATTTACTCAATATTACAAATGGTGACAATAATTGTGACTCTAGTTTTTCGTTTGATTTACAGATACCTATAGCCATAATCATTTAACGCCCCAAGATGAAATAATTGATCGCAATTTTCGTGAAAAACTCAAAAACGATCCCACCACGAAGCTGGAAAACCTATCTCGAAACGAATAGCAAGATTTTTCCAATAAACTGCAGAACGAGGACGGAAAAGAATTTTTTTGCCTCCAAATTACGAAAAAGTCCGTCATGTTATGACCCGAAACCAAATAAGAGTTTTGCCACTATCTCCGAAATTTTTCGCGGATATCAAAATTGATCCACCATGGTCAATGACATTGAGCAAAAAGCGATTCTTATTATATCAAGAAAGCGAAATTTAAAAAAAATTATCGTATGAGGAATTGCAGTCTCGTCTGCATGCGTAACTACGCTCTGCATGCGTAAGAAAAACAAAACTCCGCATGCCTAAAAACTAAAAAATCACGAACAAAAATCGAATAATTCCAAAAAAATGTTGTTGATAAAAACTGGAAAGCTATGAAACATGAAAGAAACAAGCTGTTAAAAATTAGTCTAAAAAATGGCTGTTATGTTCCACTCACCAGAAACCCATGGAAGAATTGCGGATGGGAGTTGGAAACACTTCTGAAGTCCAGATGTATATGATTGTGTAACAGGACGAGAAACACATTGCGCCGAATAGACTCAGCGCCGTCACCATCCCGTCTATATCACTGTGTCTGAAGATCATAATTAGGAGGCCAGTCATACCTCCGGCCACCATGGACAACAAGTAGGCAAACTTCCTGCCAAATCTCTCCATGAAGAGGTAGCAGAAAAAGTACATGGGGTAGTCGACCACGCTGATGAGGAATATGTTGAAATACTTGTCTCCTCCTAAATTAGGAACGGAGAAAAAGATTGCGTAGAAGCCTGCCGAAACTACACACCAGTTAATTCCGAAGAGAATGCCTTTGATGCATATGTTCGGGTAGCTTTTAACGAAGATCCTCAAGTCCTCCAACTTCCCCGATACTTTTGACTCTAGAACAACAAACTGATTTTACAATGGCTGTTTGCAATTAAAATATAAATTCACGAATTTCCAGGCCCTTGATAGAAACTGAATGCGGTTACAGCAAGAACTTACAATGTAGCCTTTTGAACTATTAACAGAAAAAACTGTTAAAAAGCAAAATTTTCAATTCTTTTAAAAAAACACATTTAACACCTTGAACGAAGCGTTTTTTAAAAACATCTTCAATTGATTTTTTCTTATTTTGAGTTAGGCATGTAAGTTTTTGCTCAAAAAATTGAAGCATCAACAAGTAAGCTAAATTCCGAGCAGCCTCTTATGTAACTTTTATCCAAGACATTTGCGTCATCAAGAGCGCAGAAATCAAACATATCAAACTCAAGAAGTCAAAAAACCTAAAACCGATATCTGCAGCCGTGCAAAAAATTAATTCGAGCACAGAAAAATTTCAGCTTGCAAAAAAACAGTTCCCGACTTGAATCGAGCTATCGGGCTTTGTCGTATCAAGCATGGGTGGTACAGCAACTTGGAAGAAAGCTGAACCTTCAAAAAAAAGTCGGAAGCTTGCGAAAGGTCACTCACTTATGAAGTATACATTCAGATATCTAGTCCAACTTTGAGCTGCTGATGCAGACTGTGAAGACCCATTAGATTGCACTGATGAACTCTTGTACTCTTCGGAAAGTGCTTGAGCTATGAAATTGCGCATATGTTCAGTCGGAACCGTTCGCTTGTTAATTTCAGCTATTCTAAGCAGCACATATTCTGCCTGTGTTTCAAGACCTTTGGATATCAACCAGAGCGGTGACTCGAAACAATATTTGAGAACTAGTAACATCAGCAGTCCACATATTCCAAGCGTCATTTCGAAGTGGGTCCAGTCCATAAAAACGTATACAAGTCCTAAACAGTACACTTCCTCGACAACTTCAAACAGGTTCCGAAGAGCAGGAGCAAACAAGCGCATTCTTGGTCCCGTTATTTCAATTATGTACACAAAAAACACCAAGTACAATCCATGAGAGCACGCGCATACACAACAATAGCTGATATAGAAGAGCCATAGCATATCTGCACCTTCTGCTGCAACCAGCATCCAATTGCAAATGCATTTCAAAAATGCAGCTAGAGCTAGTGTATTCACACGCCCGTAACGGTCAGAAAGAAATCCAAAAGTTACAGCACCAATTAAAAACCCAATTGCTGTTAATGATTGACCCAAAGCCTTCCGAAACTTATATTGACAAAGCATATCAAACGAAGAGACAAACGTTTTTCCAAATGGGTAACCTTTATTGAACTCCCACTCAGAACACTTGACTGTTTCTGGTTCTGATTCATCAGCTAGAGGTAAATATGGCGTAATGTAGTGGTTACAGTAAGTATCAAGAAGCTCATCGTCATCCTTGCCTTTGTACTGGAATGCTTGGTCAACAGTCGAATTTTGAGCAGATATCAAGCTGCGTGTCTCGTTATCAAGATATTGTTTTGGTATCACACACGTATGTTCGGGCGTGTTGTAAAACAATGTATAAGTTAAGAAGTCTGAGTGACCAATGATGCCTAACATTGTGAGAAACAATATGGTCAGAACTTGAAATCTACCGAATTCACCGATAGCAAGGAAGAGGGCGTCCGACTTCATTGTGCCAATACTCACGCTCAAAGTTTCGGGTTAAATAATCCGCGAACACACTTATCGCTCACATTTCTGAAACGTAACCAAAATTTCCCAAGAACAGCCGGCTACTGTGCGTTATAACAAAATGTCCGACTAGTCTTGAAAATACAAATTTTTTAAACTAATTTAATTTTTTTTCTGCGTGGTGTGATAAAAATATCTGAACAAAAAACTAAAACTTAGGCATGCTCGACAATCATTGCATGCAAAATAGTCCAAATGGACAACAAATTTTCAAGAAGTATGACTGGAAAAACAAAAAATTCCTCACAAAAATTTCACAAATTTTATCAAAATCTTTTGCAGAACTTTATTGAAATTTTCGATGAGATTATCCAAATGTGGACCAATCGTGACGAGAGAGAAATCAATTCCTAAAGCTAGTGGCTCAAGACCAGGACACGGAAGATCGTGCTTTTCAAGTGGCTTTAATCAGAGACAATCAATTTGTTTCGGGGACGTCGATCAAGGTGGAGTTACCATCTCTCAGCTGTGAACAAAAGTTCACCCACTCTCACTAAAAAAGCCAATAAGGCAAACGGCATGATAGCAGTAATTAAGAAAAGCTTCACTAAAGTCATGAAGCAAGTATTTTTAAACATCTACAAATGCTTGATACGGCCACACCTTGAATTTGCGAACTTAATCTGGCACCCAAGGTTGACCAAGCATCAAAAGATCTTGGAAAACGTAAAAAGAAGAGCGACGCGTCTAGTTAGTGGTATAAAAAATCTATCCTATTACGAACGCCTTAAAGAACTGAATCTATCATCGCTGGAATACAGAAGGAGAAGAGGGACAATGATAGAAATGTATAAAATCTGCTATGGTTTCTATGATAGGAATCCCACTGCGGGACTATTCGAGCGGAATGATAGGGATTCTAGATGTAACGCTTGTAAAGTAAGTAGTAGGTAAAGCAAATCTAGAAATGCGAAAAAAAATTTCTTCACGGTAAGAGCACCTCTCGACTGGAACAATCTGCCACAGGAAACAGTGCAAAGCAAGACCATCGACGAATTCAAGTGGAAACTGGACAAACATTGGAAAGCGATTGGAATTGACATGTAAGAATTCGAACGGAGATAAGAAAAACATTTGAAATGACCACAAGAGGCACTGCCTAATGGTCATAAAAAAAACTTGACTTGAGTAAACGAATGAATAACGGTTTATAAAGGTCTCCGGACACTGAACATTCGCCCAATCAATTAACAGCGACGGAAAAAAGGAAACATCTCTATTTACGACTGGGTAACGTGTCTCACTACAGTGGAAAAGACTTACATATCCGAAGAAATATCACTACAAAACTGAATACCAGGAGCCACAATAGCATGCTCACTACTACCTAACGACAATACCGTCGTTACAAATTGCTTCAACAACCCATCGGTTCTATCGCCATACTACATCAAAGTGGAAGAGGTATACAACTTCTTTCAGGAGATAAAATTCTATCAAAGACTTATAGTGCACTTTTCATTTATGATGACTTCAACATAAACGACTTTGAACACTTATCATCTCCTTTTTATCTGTAACATTCGCCCGGAAGATACATATCGACGGATAACAAAACTAAGTCTTAAGACGACTGGCTAGCGTCTAAACAGAGCTTTGCATGTTTTTCACCGTCTCTACCAAGCCAGTACTTTTCGGTGGTCTTTCTTACATCAGGCTGACAAAAACGTTACTGTTCTCCGGCTTCGACCAGAACGCTCAAATTAACTGAATTACATGCGAAATTAGTGAGCTCATGGCTGGGTCTCTGTATCCCCAGACCACGAGGTCACTCCTAAAAATGTGACATTCGACCAGAATGGCCAAAATGCAGTCTCTGCAGAATTCAGGATTTTAGCAGTGAACCTTCCGGATTGGCGATTTAGAACGGATAAGGACGTTATTTGAATGATTGGCCAAACGGTGAAGGCTAGAAGATTCTGGAATTCTAAATTTTAAATTTTCGAAGTGATGACGTAACATTTCTGAGAAATGTTAAAACGGCCATTTTGGCTAAAATAGCAGAAAGAAACAGAACAACTTTATCTGCGATTACGAACAGTACGAAAATCGAGACTAAAAAACAACAACGAACTACCAAACAGCAGAGGACGTTCCGAGTTGCAACTATTGTGCTGTTACAATAGTTGCAAGGCCGTTGCGAACAACGGTGAAGGGTAAAAACCAGCCCTCCGAGTTAGCGTGAACCTGAGGTTAAGGAGCTTGATTCGCCGGATTCAAGAATCCGGAAGGGTCTCGGGACGGGAACTTTTATGAACTTGTATTAAATTTTAGCATCCTGTCATGTCCTGACTTGAATTTAACCGATATTTTGATTAGTTTTGACAAGGATGAGGTGCTAGGGATTGGGGGAAAGGGTTGATCCATCTTCGATGGAGATGATGATTTTTATCTACTGAACAAAAACAATAGTAATATAATAAGTAGTAGCCCTGTTTTTAGGAGTGACCTCGTGGTCTGGGGATACAGAGACCCAGCCATGAGCTCACTAATTTTGCATGTAATTCAGTTAATTTGAGCGTTCTGGTCGAAGCCGGAGAACAGTAACGTTTTTGTCAGCCTGATGTAAGAAAGACCACCGAAAAGTACTGGCTTGGTAGAGACGGTGAAAAACATGCAAAGCTCTGTTTAGACGCTAGCCAGTCGTCTTAAGACTTAGTTTTGTTATCCGTCGATATGTATCTTCCGGGCGAATGTTACATGTATGTTTTTATGGCGCTCCTGGGTGTTATTCTTTTTTAACATCTTGACCGGCAGAACCGTTAACGAGCACTCCGCGCCGAGCGGATGCTCACATTAACGCCCTTAATAGGCCTAAACCGCCGGGGCGGAAGGGTAGTTCGGAACGCGGAGGCCTTCCGAATTGCCGTGAATAGTTTTTTAACCTAGTTAAGACCGAAAATTCACGAACCAGGAAGGGTGGGGGGATCGGCCGTCTCCTCATCCCCTGAGTGGTTTGTGACCAAAAACACTTAAAGATATAAGCAAAACCAAACAAAAAGTAGTATAGTACCCAAGAAAAACAAAAAACATAAAAAATAACCGAAAAAACCAAAAACAGTAAAAAAGTAAAAAATCAGTAGAAATCATCCCCCCAGACAAGATGTGATTCAACCCCCCCGTTTGTTGTTGATAGATATATTGTTGTTACAGGCATTTATATCAGTCAGGATCGTTACGATCAATTTTGTGGCCCGTTTGTGAGGCTTGTACTGTAGGGTTATTTGAGCATTTAAGCACGTTAATGATAAATTGCGCTCAATCCGGAGGGGTCAGCTGATTTGCGCTCAATTCGGAAGGGTCTTGGGTGAAGACCGATCCGGCAAGCAGTACAAGGAGCAACAAGAAGGGGCTCAACGACAACAACAATCGACTGTTGGGTATCGTTAACAAGTTTTGTATCCCTTTTGGTACAAAAAGTAAGATAGTAATCTGTGGGGGGCTCGACAGTGCTGCACTGTAGTGACCCTTCACCGAACTGCGAATATCCGAGTTAAGCACCTTAATTCGGATAATAAACAAACCCGGAGGGGCATAGTATTACTAATATTATTACTTATATAGCCTATATTAATAGTCTTATATCGTTTTTCAGTGAAAAACAACGAAAACAGACCGGTTTTTAGGATCAAAATTGCGATATTTTGATCCCCCCACAAGTCGCGATTTTTGAGATATCGATATTTTTTTGAAACGGAAAAAAGCGCTAAGCTAGTGTGTTACATCGTAACTGCACTACTGTATCAAGTAGAACCGGTTAACTTTAGTTCGGAAGTGGTTGGAACTAGTTTGGTACCAAAAACCAAATTTTCCCAATTTTTGATAGTAAGAAACACTAAAAATTTAGAAGATTTTTTGAAATTTTTGAGGTAGGACAGTAAAAATAGTTGTTCGGACAACGTCCACTAGTGAATCTACAAGTCTTAAAATCCGCTACCCGAAAGCCTTCCGGGTTGCAGAGAAATCGAACATAACGTGTTTGATTTGGTGGATTCATCAATCCGGAGGGGTCCAGGTAGCATAGTTTTTCGCAAAATTTTTCTACAATCGCGTTTTAGATCGGGTCTTTTGCATTGAACTAGAAGAGTATAGGCCTTCTCAGCTCGGATCAATAATTTTTAGGTCGAAAGGACCAGATTTGCGGAAAAAGTTAGGCGGAACCTATAAGAGAGAAAATTTTTTGAGTTCGGAAAAAAGACGTTTTGGTTAATAACTTTGGAACTACTGATCATATCGAGTTGATCTTGGTACCAATAGATCAGAAATTAGCTGAGCTTACTAATAGGATCAGAAATTTTTCGGAAAAGCGAGCGAGAAAATTTTTTGAGATTGTTTTTAGCAAATTACACAAATCCGGAGGGGTACACCCTTCACGTTTTATAAATTTTTCTGAAAAACCCTTATACCTCTACCAAAAGTTGATAGCGATTGAACTAAGTAACTTAGGACAGTTCTAGACAAAAAGGGAAGGCTGAAGGCACAAGACAACCATAATAGAGTCGAAGTTAGGCAAGTGATAAGACCCTTCACCGTTAGTGTGAATTGTCAAATAAGTGCCTTAACTTCAACCCGGAGGGGTCTAGGAAAGGACCCTATACCCTTCCCAGTTAATTCAAACAGCATAATAGCAACGCAGAACGTATCCGGAGGGGTATAAGCTGAAATTAAGAAAACTACAAAAAGCTACTTTGACAGAGCTAAGGGCTCCGAAGTCAGAGGGGTCCGAATCCGGAGGGGTCTACTTTCCACAAAACCGGAGGGGTCCGAATCCGGAGGGGTCTTATAGTTGCTAATTCGGAGGGGTCCAAATCCGGAGGGGTCTACTATTAACTAACTCGGAGGGGTCCCAATCCGGAGGGGTCTATATTCTGACAGTCCGGAAGGGTCCTATTTGTGCCAATCCGGAGGGGTATTATTTTATTAAGGACTTAGGTAAACGAAAGAAAGACTAAAAAGCGAGAGGTATTAGGTTATTAATACACAGGCTAGGTATCAGTGACTGCACTGGTAACTTGCCTCTCAAAAAGAACCAGACTAA